CTAATTCATCACAGCCTGTCCAGGGATCCCTTAACCACCCCAGCTGGGCCTGACATGCTCCTCTCCAACAGTCCCCAGGGTCTGGCCCACAGGGTTTAGTGTCAAACAGTTTCCATTGAGCTGGAGAAACATGGCTGACAATTCCAGAACCAGCCACTATGCTAATGTACAGATTTTGATCTAATCACAGTGCCCCAGTGAGTGGAAGGCTGCTGGCCTATTTTATAGATGAGAAAACCAAGGCCTAGAATTGGGCAACAAAGCCCAGCCAGGACATGTCCCATCTCTGTACTGCCCTCTAGCCCAGTCCTCTCCCTGTGGTCCCAGGGACAGCTTCTAGCAATGATGCCAGGGTTCTTGTTCACAAAGCTAAAGAATGAGCTTCACAAACACTCAAGGTAGGAGAGTAAGGTACAGGCTTTTACTTAGAGATAAAGTGAAAGGACAGAGCTCCTGGCTCATGCCAAGAGGGGACAAAAGAGTCCAGGGTGGTGCATTGTCTAGGGGTTTTATAGGTAGTTGAGGATTTGGGGGAACATGAAAAAAACCTTAGGGGTGTGGACTTGTTAAATGGTCCTTGAATGTTTAGAATTAACTTAACACAAGCACCTTTCGCTCTGATTATTTTTCTCTGAGATACTAGCATCTTGGTTTGGGAGCATATTAAACAAGGCTGCCTGCCCAGCCCCCAAGGTGGGCTGAGGTATTGTTTGCTAAAGAGTAAGTTAAGAATCCTGCTTATTAACTTCCTGGGTATTAAAATGCAATCTTATATTTAAGGTAGAATCCTTCTTGCCTTTTACTATGTTGTTTATGCCTAGGCTTACTTGCTAAATTAGTTGTCCAATTTGCAAAATCACCTCATCAGATTTGAAGGAGGAAAGACAGTACAGAGGCCTGGGCCTTTTAGCACAGTAAAGTTGAATCTTACACATGATTATAAGTGATTAGCATAGTAAAAACACGTGCTGCTCTTCTTTATCTGGGAAATATTAACTGATCTCACTGAAGAATGACTCTAGAGCTTAATGTTTAGCACAGAGTTTTGGTAGGGAGTTTCCTTGCATGCAGTTACATTGTTCTGACTGCAAATATCCTGCCTTGCTTTTTCCAGAGGCCCTCACCCTACTGTGACTACACCCACAGTCCCTATCTCAGCAAAAGACCATGGCCTTTGGGCTCTAGGCATGCCTGGCCTATGGCAGCTCACAAGGACTAGAAAACAGATTTAGAACAAGCTGTATCTGAGTTCAAAACCCAGGAGTGCCTCTTGGTCACCATATGACCTCAGGTATGTCACGTTTCTGTGCCATGTGGGAATGAGCCCACACTGCAGGACTGAGCACGAAACGATAGCTCACAGGATGCCCAGGCTGCTTTCAGGTGTGAAGCAGTCACAATTACTCCCTTCTCTTTCTGGTCTTCCTAAAAAAGACCAGGAGTTGTGGGGCTGGAGTCTTGGAATTTTGGAGAGGGGAAGAGGATTTCTGTAAGTCAGTCCAGGGAGCTAGGTTGTCAGGCAAGAAAGACATGGTCAAATTTAGGTTAGTTGGATGGGACGCTGAATTAAGAGAACACACACTCTCCAAAGCCCAGAACTGGTCATTAGACAGCACAAACCTAGAGCCTGAGCTGCCTGTTTTTAGGGCCTTCTCCTCACTGACCCACGGGGTTCCCAAGAGAGACACTGCACGTGACCCAGGCCAGGTGCAGACATGCAGAGGAACAAGGGTTGGGCTCTCTCTGGAGTCCCTTCAACACCACCCACTTCCTCTGGGCCCAATTCCTAATAGGCAAGTCTCCTTACCCGGGTTCAGGTCACGTATACCTCAAGGATCCTGACATACAGACAGAATTTTTGTGCTTATACATATGTGCAGTTTGGGGAAACACCAGTACAAAGCTTTTATCTGACTCTCAAAAGATTCTACTGCTTTAAGGCTCCAATCCCCACAAGAATAGGAGGGAAACAAGGCCAAGGCCTGACCCTGCCTGGGATGTGTGTTTTTAATAAGGAACTCTGGAGGACCAGTGCCCTTTTAGAATCAAAGGAATGCATCTTAGAGGGAACATTCTAGGCCCCGGACACACAAGCAGAGAAATATCTGGGGCAGAATCCAGCCTGCAGTTTCTTTAGTCACATGGTACCCATCCTGTCTGGGGTGCCCTGAGAAAAAAATTAAGTTATTATTATTATTTTCTTTTAAGAGGAAGGGCCCAGAACACCAGCTTGTCCTCACTAGGTGCTCCTCCTTGGGTTGGGGTGGGGAACCCTATAATTCGGTGGGATCTCACTGAGGGGATCCTTCCTTCCTGAGAGGAGAAGAAGGGGCTGGGATCTAATTAGACCTCACCCCACACCCACTTGGATCTATGGGGCTGGGAAAGTGGTGGGGCAAGATGATTCTTGGTGACTGACTGAAGCTGGACCAGTCCTCATCTGTGCTCCTGGGCTGGCCAGTGCCCTGGCCCTGGGGCTGGGAGTGAACAGCGTGCCCTTTCCCCCCTTCCCCCCCACCGCAAGGGAGTAGAGTGTCCCCTCTGTCCCACCAGGGGTTATGCAGAGGACTCCTGTGGCTGGGCCTCTGTGTGAACGAGGCGGCTGTGTAGATTCCAGCCCCTTATTCTCCGCTCAGGAAGACGGGTCCTGAAGCCCCACAGCAACACCAAGTGGCAGTATGGAGAACTGCAGCGGAGGTAGGCAAAGGTCTCCACCAGCTTCCTTCTGAAGAGCGTTCAGACCTGGAACTGCACCCCTGGGTGATTCCCAGTGGGTCTTGAGCAGTTAAAGTGTTAGAGACTCTCAAGGAGACAGTGGGCTTCTAGTTTATGAGGAAGGCAGGAGTTCAAGCAATTGATTGTGGAGGGATGTGGCAATGAGCAAGGATCTGTCTAGCCCCTCTGCATAATGGTAGGAGGGAGGGTAATGGGGGATGTGGGGGCCCTAGCTCTGGAAAGCATGCAAAGAGAGAGTTAGGAAAGGAGGAGAGCTTCATTCTCTCCATCAGGGGAACCAGGCCAGCCAGGGAGGAGCACTGGATGGGGAGCCCGAGACCAGGTCCATTCCTGGCCTTGCCCCTGACCAGTATGTTGCTCCAGGACACTGGACTATCTAGGACACTGGATTAATCTGTGTCCTGAGCTCCACGGACTCAGGATACAGACATGGAGGGATGATGCCAGGGAATAATGACTGTTGGTAAGTGTGTGGCATGTGTGTGCATATGGAGGGATTTGGGAGAGGGGAGGAAAGACAAAGGAAGATACTGGAAATTTATTTCCAAGCATGGCCTTACAGGACTGGCATTATTTATTCTCCCTATTTTACAGGTGAGAAAATCGAGGCTCAGAGACAATGAATAACTTGGGCCCTGAGGCAGAGACTGGCACCCAGCTGGATCACATTTCCCCCTGTCCCTGTCCCTGGCACCTAAGTCTGAGTCTGACTGAGTCTGCTAGAGGCAATGTGGGCAGAAGTGGTATCACTTGCAGTCCTGGTCCTTCAAAATCCCTGTGTGATGCTCTGGGTCCTTCTCCTTTTGCCAGTCAGCCTGAAGGCTGTGTGTTAAAATCACAAGCAGAGAGATGCAGGGGGATACCAGAATCACCACATAGAGAAGAGTTTCCTGCTCATCAAGAATGCTTGTTTTGGTACTTAGGCAGGCAGGGACTGTATGAAGGCTCTGGGATTTGGGGGGCTTGTCTTTTCCAGCAGCTAGCATTATCCAGCAGTAAGTGGAGGAGTGGGGTTCAGACTGGTCTCCCCAGGCCCTCTCCGATTACTATATCATGCATGGAGCTTTAAGTGAAGCCAAGAGGGACAGTGAGCTACAGCACTATGATCCCCAAATCTCTGTGTGTACATGTGTTTGCATGTGCCTGTATGAGTATGTGTGCCTGTGTGTACTGGAGAGTTTCAGGGTGAAGAATTTGCACTCCTCTCCCACACTGCATGGTCTTCATTTCTGTGCCAGTCGTCTTTTCCCACCTGGCTTTGGAAGGCTGGTGGATTTTAGTGTTAAGTCATCTTTTTTGGTTCATTCTTATTAAGGGCCTCATCAGACAGCTTTCCTGACCCACATGGGTGAAGGGAGGGGTAGCAGGGCTAAGCCAGGCTTTAGACTTTAAGGGACCCCACTGCAGGCAGGGGCCAAAGGCCACAAAACCACCTTGCTCTCACCCAGTGTCGCCCCCTGCCTACAAGGCCGGAGGCCCACCTTGGCCATGGCCTCAAGGACAGAGTGCCAGTTTTGAAGCCAGAAATCTGAGTCTGTACCCTGCTCTTTCCATCTCCTAGCTGTGAACCTTAGGCAAACTGCTAAGCCCCTTTTAGTCCCTGTTATTATTACTCTTAACTGGATCAAGTTGGGGAGAAAAGGTCTGTGATTTGCGGGGGGTTTGTGATGACTAAATGAGCCCACTTATATATAAATGTGTGGCACATAATGGAGCTTCAGCCAGGTTTGTCCCTGTCTGAGAAAACCTCACTTCTCTCCCTGAAATTGAGGACGTCTTTGTGAACTGCAGCCTTGCTCGGGCTACAGGAGGCCAGGGGCTTCTGGGGAGGGCAGAGTTTATCTGCAGGGCCTAGCATAATGGACACAGAGGAGGTAAATGTTCTGGAAGGCCAGGCTGTGGCAGGGGTGGGACCCAGACACAAGGGCTAGAGCAAGGGCCTCATTGTGCAAGGGACAGAGACATGGAAGGGAGGAGGGGTGCCCCTAAATGGAGGTGTGGGGTAGAAAGGAGCAAACCCAATCTCCCTTATCACCTCCCCAGTATATTTTCTCCTGACCCGTTGCCTGACCCTTAGAATCAAGCCCACCCTACATCCTCAAGCAAGGCTTCCAATTCCCAACAAACACTCCTCCCCCCAATTATTTCACTCACTACTTGTCCCAGAGAAGCTTTCTTGGCTTCATGCCTCCAGGCCAGGCCTGACACAGAGAGCTACCCCACAGCCCCTTAGCCAGATCTCTCGGGGCTGAGTGGTTGGTTACCTTTCCTGCCTGTGAGCATCCGGAGGAATCGGGGGCACTCCGTTTCCACAGTCTGTCCCAGAGCAGAGGAGGGCCAGCAGCTCACGTTGTCCCACAGCCCCAGACAGCCTGCCAAGAAGAGCAGCAGCCTCAGACAGGGATGGAGCATGGGCGGAGGGCCTCTCCCCACCCCCACCCTCCCCCACCCCCTGTCCCCATTCCCAACACGCCTTGCCTGCCATGAGTCCCCATTTAGGTACTGACTCCTTGAGATCAGGAACCAATGGTGCCTAATGTGCTTTTTCATCTATGGGGACTCAGACTCTGCCATCTACATAGTAAACGCTCAGTGCTGAAGGCAGGAAGGGAAGGAGGGAGGGGGAAGGAAGAGAGGAGGGGAGGTCACAAGGAAGGAAGAGAGAGAGGTAGACAGGGAGGGAGGGAGGAAGGAGGGAAGGAAGATACATTACCTTATATAAGCCTTACAAGTACAGGTCTGGATTTCTCTAGAACAGAAGATGGAACATCTGTTGGCCTCTCCTTGCATGAAAGGACTGCACAGCAGTGGGCCTCCATCCTGCTCTACATCTTTCCCCAGTAAAACATCTGGGGAGCTTTAAAAACATACATAACTTGGCCCTACACAGGAGTCCTGATATAACTGGTCTTAGGTGGGCCCCAGGCATGATATTGTGTTAAAAGTTTTCCAGGTAATTCTAACATGATGGCAGGGTTAAGAACCCTTGTCTCATGATTCAAAAACTTCAGCGTCAGATTCATCCAGAAGACTTGTAAAAACACAGAGATCTGAGCACCACCCGGAGTCTCAGTGGAGCCTAATAGTTCACATTTCTGACTAGTTCCCAGGTGAGGCTGATGCTGCTGGTCTGGGGCCACATTTTGAGAACCACTACCCTGGCTTATGGAAGCAGCTACGCCAGAGTCATCACTGCACTTGTAGTAGGGATATTGTGGAAGAGGTTGCTTTCCACTTAACTGGGTTCCCTGATCAGGCTCCTCTCTGAAAGAGAACCTGGCTCAATGCAATGAGAAGCTGAACTTCTGGTGAAATACTAGTAGGTGTCTGTCTTTACAGACACTGAATCTTGAGGTTGTTTCCTATTTGATTTGGCTGCTAGGAAGCTCAGAAACAGATCTATGGCCTATTTCTGGTAACTGAAAGACTGAAATGAATAAAAAGGATTGTTAGGTGTCTTCAACACCTAATGAGACATTGCCAACAGAGCCTTCTGAATTATCTGATTCCATGGGTACTCTGGCCATTTATTGTCTTTGAGCTATTTGCAACTCTATAAATTGTAGATAACTGATAGAATGCAAGTATCTACAAAGGCATGCAAGTGAATTTTGCATGATTAATTGTATTTCAACTGGATAAATTGTATCCAGCCAGTTTTGCATCACTTGTAAATTCATTTTACCCCTGCTCACTTCTCGTGAAATCTGGCTTATTCTTCAAGTTACAGCTCAACCGTCAAGCACTTGAATGTTCCTTTTCCATAACTGGTTTCCCTGTGGGTCCTCCCAGCACTCTTCATAGCTGTTAAAGCTGTGGTAATTTTTTTTAAATTAATAAATAAATGTATCTTTGGTTCTTGGAATTTTCCTATGAACTAGTGGCAATATCTTACTGTTTCTCTCATTAATTAAATACAATGTTTGGCAGGTATTCATTATTTAAAAAAATTTTTTTATTAAGGTATGATTGATATACACTCTTATGAGGGTTTCACATGAAAAAACAATGTGGTTACTACATTTACCCATACTATCAAGTCCCTACACACACCCCAATGCAGTCACTGTCCATCAGTGTAGTAAGATGCCACAGATCCAATATGTGCCTTCTCTGTGCTACACTGTTCTCCCTGTGATCCCCCACACTATGCGTACTAAACATAATACCCCTCAATCTCCTTCTTCCTCCCTCCCCACCCACCCTCCCACACCCCTCCCCTTTGGTAACCACTAGTTCATTCTTGCAGTCTCTGAGTCTGCTGCTATTTTGTTCCTTCAGTTTTACTGCATTGTTATACTCCACAAATGAGAGAAATCATTTGGCATTTGTCTTTCTCCGCCTGCCTTATTTCACTGAGCATAATGTCCTCCAGCTCCATCCATGTTCTTGCAAATGGTAGGATTTGTTTCTTTCTTATGGCTGAATAGTATTCCATTGTGTATATGTACGACCTCTTCTTTATCCATTCATCTACTGATGGACACTTAGGTTGCTTCCATATCTTGGCTATTGTAAAAAGTGCTGCGATAAACATAGGGGTGCATATGTCTTTTTGAATCTGAGAAGTTGTATTCTTTGGGTAAATTCCAAGGAATGGGATATCCAGGTCAAATGGTATTTTATTTTTAGTTTTTTGAGGAACCTCCATATTGCTTTCCACAATGGCTGAACTAGCTTACATTCCCACCAGCAGTGTAGGAGGAGGGTTCCCCTTTCTCCACATCCTCGCCAGCATTTGTTGTTCCTAGTCTTTTCAATGCTGGTCATCCTTACTGGTGTGAGGTGATATCTCATTGTGGTTTTATTTGCATTTCTCTTATGATTAATGATGATGAGTATCTTATGTGTCTGTTGGCCATCTGAATTTCTTCTTTGGAGAAGTATCTGTTCATATCCTCTGCCCATTTGTTAATCAGGTTATTTGCCTTTTGGGTGTTGAGGCTTGTAAATTCTTTATATATTGTGGATGTTAACCCCTTGTCAGATATGTCATTTACAAATATATTCTTCCATACTGTAGGATGCCTTTTTGTTCTGTTGATGGTGTCCTTTGCTGTACAGAAACTTTTTAGTTTGATGTAGTCTCATGAGTTCATTTTTGCTTTTGTTTCCCTTGCTCGAGGAGATGCATTCACAAAGGAGTTGCTCATGTTTATATTCAGGAGATGTTTGCCTATGTTGTCTTCTAAGAGTTTTATGGTTCCATGACTTATATTCAGATCTTTGATCCATTTCAAGTTTACTTTTGTGTATGGGATTAAACAATAATCCAGTTTCATTCTCTTGCAGGCAGCTGTCCAGTTTTGCCAACACCAGCTGTTGAAGAGGATGTCATTTCTCCATTGTATATTCATTGCTCCTTTATTGTATATTAATTGACCATATTTGCTTGGGTTTATATCTGGGCTCTCTAGTCTGTTCCATTTGTCTATGGGTCTGTTCTTGTGCCAGTACCAAATTGTCTTGATTACTGTGGCTTTGTAGTAGAGCTTGAAGTTGGGGAGTGTAATTCCCCCTGCTTTATTCTTACTTCTCAGATTTGCTTTGGCTATTCGAGGTCTTTTGTGGTTCCATATGAATTTTAGAACTATTTGTTGCAGTTCGTTGAAGAATGCTGTTGGTATTTTGATAGCAATTGCATTGAATCTATAGATTGATTTAGGCAGGATGGCCATTTTGACAATATTAATTCTTCCTAACCATGAGCATGGGATGAGTTTCCACTTATTGGTAGCTTCTTTAATTTCTCTTAAGAGTGTTTTGTAGTTTACAGGGTATAGGTCTTTCACTTCCTTAAAGGTTAAGTTTATTCCTAGGTATTTTATTCTTTTTGATGCAACTGTGAATGGAATTGTTTTCCTGATTTCTCTCTGCTAATTCATTGTTAGTGTATAGGAATGCAACAGCTTTCTGTGTATTAGTTTTGTATCGTGCAACTTTGCTCAATTCAGATATTAGTTCTAGTAGTTTTGAAGTGGGTTCTTTAGGGTTTTTTATGTACAATATCATGTCATCTGCAAACAGGGAGAGTTTAACTTCTTTGTTACCAATCTGGAAGTCTTTTATTTCTTTGTGTTGTCTGATTGCCGTGGCTAGGACTTCCAGTACTATGTTAAATAGAAGTAGGGAAAGTGGGCATCCTTGTTTTATTCCCGATCTTAAAGGAAAAGTTTCAACTTCTCACTGTTAAGTATGATGTTGGCTGTGGGTTTGTCATATATGGCCTTTATTATGTTGAGGTACTTGCCCTCTATACCCATTTTGTTGAGAGTTTTTATCATGAATTTTGTTGAATTTTGTCAAATGATTTTTCAGCATCATATGGTTTTTGTCCTTTTTGTTGATGTGGTGGATGATGTTGATGGATTTTCGAATGTTGTACCATCTTTGCATCCCTGGAATAAATCCTACTTGATCATGATGGATGACCTTTTTGATGTATTTTTGAATTCAGTTTGCTAATATTTTGTTGAGTATTTTTGCATCTATGTTCATCAGGGATATTGGTGTGTAATTTTCTTTTTTTGTGGTGTCTTTGTCTGGTTTTGGCATTAGAGTGACGCTGGTCTCATAGAATGAGTTTGGAAGTATTCCCTCTTCTTCTTCTCTTTGGAAAACTTTAAGGAGGATAGGTATTATATCTTCACTAAATGTTTGATAAAATTCAGTGGTGAAGCCATCTGGTCCAGGTGTTTTGTTCTTAGGAAGTTTTTTGATTACCAGTTCAATTTCTTTGCTGGTTATTGGTCTGTTTAGATTTTCTGTTTCTTCCTTGGTCATCCTTGGAAGGTTGTATTTTTCTAGAAAGTTGACCATTTCTCCTAGGTTATCCAGTTTGTTAGCATATAATTTTTCATAGTATTCTCTAGTAATTATTTGTATTTCTGTGGTGTCCATAGTCATTTTTCCTTTCTCATTTCTAATTCTTTTTATGTATGTAGACTCTCTTTTTTTCTTGATAAGTCTAGCTTGGGGTTATCTATTTTGTTTATTTTCTTGAAGAACCCGCTTTTACTTTCATTGATTCTTTCTATTGTTTTATTCTTCTTGATTTTATTTATTTCTGCTCTAATTTTTATTATGTCCCTCCTTCTACTGACTTTAGGCCTCCGCATTTGTTCTTTTTCTAGTTTCATTAATTGTGAGTTTAGACTGCTTATATGGGATTGTTCTTCTTTCCTGAGGTAGGCCTGTATTGCAATATACTTTCCTCTTTGCACGGCCTTGGCTGTGTCCCACAGATTTTGCAGTGTTGAATTATTGTTGTCATTTGTCTCCATATATTGCTTGATCTGTTTTTATTTGGTCATTGATCCATTGGTTATTTAGGAGCATGTTGTGAAGCCTCCATGTGTTTGTAGGATTTTTC